GGCAATAGCCGTGAAAACTTACTGAAGTACATAATCCTCTGATGCATGAAGACGCCCATGAGGGGCGAGTTAAAACTCCTCCTTACTGAAGTCTGTCTCCATAAATCTCAAGGATCAAAGGATCACTCTCTGTGATAGAGGCAGACATTTTTACTCTCGCTAATGGGTTAGAAGCACAACTGCAACCATCTCCAAGACTACAATCGGCCATTAGCATTGAAACCGAAGGTTTTCATACTCCAGTCACGTGCCAAGTAATAATTTCCTTCACAAACAGAAAAATCTGAGCATTTGCAGTAATGAATTGGCACTTTCCGCAAAAAATGGGACAACATTTATTTTTATTTTTTTCTGTCAACAAAGAGTCTGTGAAAGGAGGTGCTTAGCGTTAACTTGAGAGATCAAGATAAAAATTATTTAGTATTAGTTAATATTATTAATAATATTATGGAGCTGTTGCATTCATTTTAAATGGAGATTTGCATTTTTTCAGACATGTCTAAATACAGTTTTAAAACATATTTATGGTCTTGCAATCTTCTAACTTTACACATTAAATAAATATATTATTTAGATGTTTTTAAATTAGTTCATGGGTGTGTATGTATAAATATTTTTGTAAAATTTCAGACATAAAAAAATGCTGGGTTGTTTTAACCCAACTTTGGGTCAAATATGGACTATTTAAATATAAATTAAAATTTAATTAAAAAATGTAACCAAACGGTTAGGTTAGTCCATATTTGACCTAAAGTTGGGTTGACACAACCCAGCATTTTTTTGTGTAAATAAATATATTTTTCGCATTTGTCTAGCAATAAACATTAAATAAATATAAAATAAAATGATTAAAGATGTTAAAATTATATAACAAAAGATTTTTCAAGTTTAAGACATGTTTAAATACAGTTTAAAACATACTAGTGAATTTGCAATTCTCTAGCATGACACATTAAATAATTATAAAATGTAGATGTTTAGAAATTATTTACTGATTTATTCCAATATTAAATTAAAAAAAGAAAGAAAGATTGCAACACTGTTACCAAGGTTTCAAGGTTTCAGACAAACGCAGTGTAAATACAGTTTAAAATGAATTTGTGATTTTCTATCATTAGATCATCACATTAAATAAATATAAAAGATAAAAGATATAAATAAACTGTTCTGGTAAATTGTTATTATTTAATGGATGTCCAATGTATTAAATGAAAAAAAAAAAACTTAATATTCCTTAGTTGGGAAAGTTTTATTTCCTATTAATTAATAAATTAAAGATTTAGTGTTGTTTGTTTTATCAGGACTGTGATTTAGAATAAATAATAATAATAATAATAATAATAATAAAAACAAAGGGACACACTTTATTACTATTTTATTAAACGTAAGGTTTTATTAATAGTAAAAAATATAGCCTAGAACTTGTAACCAAAGATTTCAAAGAAAAGGAGACACACATGGTTCTTGACATCTTGGTTCTTGAGTCCACATCTGAATGATTTTAATGTCAATCTGACTTGAGAAACTGGAGGATTGCATCATCGACAGGTGAGCCTGGCATTTGTTCATACGTCCTAAATATAAACGATACTGTGAAATTATGCATGACTGTTTGAGGAATGGGAAATGTGTTTCATTCTATATCATGCGATCTATTGCTTCGCACCTGTTTTTAAACTTCGTTCTGCAAGAAACACAATAACAAACTAGACAGAAACAGAGAAGAGGGAATAAACATCAGGCATAGCTTTCAGTAGGTGCATGAACGCAGGCTGAAGAGGATCCTGGAAGAGCTGGCAGCTGAATTGACTGACAGTACTGTAGGAGACCCTCAGGCTGCACAACCCAAAGTTCAGCTACTTAAGATGACCATGAACAAAACACACACACACACACACACACTCAAGCTGGACGACATATTGAATGCTTGCAGTGTGATGCTGCCAATACAAAATTAAGCAACACTGTATTTTTTAAATTTTTTTTTAGATGTTTAAGAGCATCTTAGAAGCAAAAACAGTGTTAGATTTGATTTTTCACGGTTCAAACAGTCATTTTCATTTATTTTAATGGATTGATTCAAGACACTGAGTAGATTTGTTCATGCCTTCTATAAATCTATAATTTACCGATAATTAATTAATACACTTTTATCTATCTAGCTATCTATCTATCCATCCATCCACACATTCAGTACAGGTAAATATTACCGTTTCTTACTATATATTGTGATATTGATTCACATAAATAATTTTAACAACTAAAATTGATTAAATATAATTATTTAGTAAAAACCGTACAAATTCTTAATTTTTAAAACATTTTATTTCTTGAATTAAATCATTTGAAATTAAGCTATACTATACTATTACAGACATAAATATTGCAGTTCATTACTATACAGTATATTTTGATACTGATCCATATAAATGTATCAATAATACATGATTAAATATCATTATTAAGTGAATTATGTACAAATACCCTTGACGTCACATCAAAAAAATCTTTTGGTACCACATCCAGTGTCGTCTAATACTGCAGCTGCTTTTAAGTTACGAACTGTCTATTTTGAAAAACATTAAACGCTACATCCTAATGATAAATATTCAGTCCTGACCCTAAGGCACATGTGCTAACAATGTGTTCTCAAAAACAACTCGTCCAACTTCACATTAAATTGTGGTCATTTTAAGATCTGTTAAATGAAGCTAAACACCCAAAACTTAATGAACATTAATAAAAATAAGGATGAATTCACTTCAGTAATGGATTATAAAACCATGACCGAACTGCAGTAAATAGATCCACACTGCCAAAACAGAATCCAAGCGCGAGAGGAGAGCATTTCTCAAGCCAACACGTCTTTCACAACTGAGTCATGAGTCAAGTCTTGAACCAATACGAAAAATTTTATGCAGCACTGACATTTAACAACTGCCTATCCCAAGAAAACTGCATTCATAACCAGCCCAGCAGTTCAGATTGATATCACCCACAAACCTGATTCCAAAATCGTCATTCTTTACATCAATTTACAACTTTTTTTAGCCAAAGATTGTTTCCAGAATCACACAGAGAGGAATCGGAGCCAAAAGTAACACCTGAAACACAACGCCACCTGATTCCATTTATAAGAAATCTAGTTCCTGTCAGCCATGTTGCGAAATTGCATTCAAACAATGAAGCAGTTTAGCTGAAGATAAACTCTTACAAAAACAAGCACAATGCCATAAAGGTCAAAATCACATTATGTATCGAAAATGGAACGCAAACTTCTGCTCTAGTGTTAATAACATGACATATTTCCATCCGACAGATTGATATATCACCCGAAAGAAAATATCTAGCCGACATTACACTGACAGACACACATTTACCACACTAAGTATTCAGTCTATAGGCCATTTGTGTTTTCGGTTCGCCATAATGCAACCCTTAGGGAGCTGCTTGATTTGTTTAGGGTAACCACATTTTGTCAATGGTTTATTGAATGTCTGCTTGATAAACTTGGTAACACACCATCCCTTTGTAACAAACCCCACATGAAATGTCCATTTCAACATGGACAGAATATCTATTTTCATTTACAAACCAATCCTTGTGGTCTGTTGAGCTTTTTATGTATAAAAACCCCAACCAAAATCCATTATTCAGATTCTAAAGCATTGTAGCTCACAAATCAGGCAAAAACGTATCAGATTCGTGGCCAGTTGGCATTTTTACAGTGTGTTTGTTAATTAGAGAAACGTAGCAGACGGAAATCCATTTTGTATCATTTCTCATGGAGGACGTTTGATAGATATCAAGTGTCAATTTTGACATTTCATGTTTTCGAAGATATTACAATCGTCATCTGGTATGTCAAACTAAACACAAGGGTTCATAAAGCGCCTAATCAAGGTAATTTTGGCAGTTTTAGGTATCCATAATGCCATTAAATGATGAATCATTCGGTTGCATTTGCTATTAACCTAATAAACCGTTCATGGTTGTGCTGTAAATGCAGCTCTGCCATTTAAACCCAGTTCTAAGTCACATCTGATGGATCAGTGTAACACATACGCACTGCATTATTACTAATAACACAAAGATGACACTGCATTTAAAAAGCCATCAGGGAGTCAGTAGCAGATGCTTTTATGAAAAATGACACTCATACCCCAGTTAAACCATCTACTGTTACAAATAAAGGTGACCGAAAATTAGGTTTACAGCCTCTAAGTTCCACAAAGAACTTTATTTCCTCAATTCTTTCAAACTTGGATGCTATGTCTAGTCTTAGAACTGAATTTTGCAAGTTTCCTTTATCCGACACACCCTAGGTCAGGTCTTGGAGCCCCTATTAATGATCTAATGAAGGTGTTTTAAACAAGGTAGACATCCAAAATGTGCCTTTCTGGGGTTCTCCAGAAACCTGAAACCAAAAAAAACTCAGTTGTATCATGCAGCCACAAGCAGTTTTGTCATCTCCAAAGAATCAAGTGGTCCTCAAGGGCATGAAAGAAGGTCCTTGATTTTTTTTTTTAAAAAGGGTGTACGAACCATCAAGAACCTTTATTTTTAAGAGTCTAAGTTTGAAAGGTAAAGAAACACACGCTATACAGGATAAAGACAACTTTAACAAATGGTTAAAAGCTGTTTTCTTCAACTACAACTTCTACAAGTAAGGAAGTCACTTAACTGGTTATTGATTTAGTCAGTCAGCCAGGCGCTCTCTCTGTTACATGTCAAGTTATATAATAATAAGTAAAAAAAAGATAAATAAAGAGAGCTAGTAAGCGATAGATAGATAGATAGATAGATAGATAGATAGATAGATAGATAGATAGATAGATAGATAGATAGATAGATAGATAGATAGATAGATAGATACTTCCCAACATACACAAAAGTTTTATTTTAATATTAAACAAATGTGATACTTATTAATACTTTAACAATAACATATTAATACATGCAAATAAATAATAAATAAATACGAGTTTGGTATGTCTTACCTTGCTCAGCCCCAGCCACTGTCAGTGTTTTAACCAGCAGAATTAATCCCGACATGCTCAGAAATGCCAAAATAAAGTCGGACATCGTGGCTGGATGTAGTCCCGAGCAGATCCGCTATCCGCCAGCGCCGATGATGATGATGCCCAAGTTGAGTGTGAGCGAAGCCGGTCTCAAGCCCCGCAGCGCTCCGCTCCGCTCCGCAGCGCAGCTCCTCCCGCAGGTGTGTGTGTGTGTGTGTGTGTGTGTGACTGTACGGACAGAACGGACTGCGTGCGCCTCAGTTTGAGGATAACGAGGTAGGATGGGAGGGGGGGAGAGAGAGAAAGAAGGGTGATAGGACGACGGGAGAGAGAGAGAGAGAGAGAGAGAGAGAGAGAGAGAGAGAGAGAGTACTGAATAATGAGAAATGAGATTATGCATGTGGTGAACACACTCACGTGAGTGACAGACCGATAGAAATACAAGACCAAAGAACGATAGATAGATGGATAGATGGATAGATGGATAGATAGATAGATAGATAGATAGAACGATAGATAGAACGATAGATAGATACTGTAGATAGAACGATAGATAGATAGATAGATAGATAGATAGATAGATAGATAGATAGATAGATAGATAGATAGATAGTACTAACTAATCTTTCTGGTGATTGTGAACTGTGTGTGAGTGAATGACTGAAGAACATAGTTCTGAAATCATTGTTTAAATTACTCATAACATAAATCTACAGCTTGTTCCCCCATGACTAGAGGTAACAGCAAGTTCAATGTATACATAAAACCCCAACAAATCCAAACCATACAGCAAACGCTCTTCCAGCTGTCATAAAAGCAGCTCACCTCCGTCTGTCTCTCTCTGTGAGGGTCTCTGGGGCCCATAGGTTTGGGTGTATCTATCGATCTCAAACTCAAAGCGCAAAAAAAACAATTATTGAGGGGGAAAAAAACCCCCAACAAACTATAAAATACTACATCATAAAGTCCCGCGCCAAGAAAACAATAAACATTGCAGCAAGACACTGTCTGTTGCTTTATTTCCATGCGAGGATCAGTAGGGACTAGAGAAACAAAAGCTAATGTGATTCGATGGAATCTAATTCTATCAATTTGATTCAGGAACATGTTTCTGGCAGCTAGTTAATCTGCTGGCAGTTTTTGAGGCCTTTATCCGGGTTTCACGAGATGGAATAAAAAGTACAGGCACTAAAGCCTTTCGATAGTTGGTTTCTTGCACCATTATGCTTACACAAAAGAAACAGAGGCCAAGTCCGCTGCCTTTTAAAGTGGATGAATTCATTAGCTCCACTCAAACGCCAGCAGACACGCAATGATGCAATAAACTCGCCATTTAATGCAGTTCTGCCATGTTTGTCCTCAAATCTAAGCAGGTGTCCTTGGCGCTAGGGAACGTGTGAAACATCCAGATCTCGCGCGTCTTATTCTTAGGCGAAATCATCTGCAATTCATGAGGTTCCAGATGTAGAAACGCACTGAACTTTGGTTTTCCGTTTCAAATTGTTTGGCAACGTTTGGAGATTTTTGGGAAACCAGCGGTCGTGACTGTGCAAAATTCTTTGCCATGATTTTTGGAGTCAGCTTGGCGACGATTCCCAGCTTTTCCATGATGTTTTAGGTTTTTTGTTTTCTTCCATAATTGTCAGGGAATCTTTGCATGACATATTAGGTTCATTAAGACAATGTGTGAAGCTGCTAACCATATGTAAACAGGTAAAAGAACACTACTTTAACACTTACAAATGCATTTGTTTTTGCCAAGATGTAGGAGGAGCTGCCAAATATGCATATGAATACATAATTATTGGCTTTTTTTTTCAACAGCAATACAAGCTTTTGTCAGCTTCTAGTGTTCTTGCAAAATTGGGCTGTAAATGATTTTGTTTACAGGTGATGACATTCACTTTTCCACATTAAAAATAATTATTCAACTCCAAGTCAACATTAAATTTAAACTGACCTTACTTACTTTAACACCCAGTCTTTGTCTTATTTTGAAATGCCTTCCGCATTACTCCACACAAAAAACACTTGCCTTCGTAATCTTTTATCAAATGTAATTATTGGCTCCGCCTCTCAAACGACTTTTAACGTTTTGCTGACATCATCAAGCACCCTTATTTTTCAGCGCCTCCCCTTCACATCCCGGTTATAAAGACGACCTTCACAAGCTAATCAATTGTGTGTGTCATTACACAAATGCAAAGAAAATATATTAAGAAATAACAATTACAATTATAATAATGATAATAATTTATTACATTTAATATATTATTTTATTAGGTTATTTCATATTATTATTCGAATCAAGTCGCTGAATTTGTCCGCACACTGAATTTCTTTTTTCAATCAGACCGAAAAAGGTCTCTCAAAAATTTCGTTTTTATTTTCCATATGCAAAAGTGAAAAAAGTGACAAAGGTGCAAAGTTTATTTGAAAAAGTATAAAATAAAAAACTAAATTAATTAATAATATAAATTCTAATTAGAACTACTTCTACTAATTATTATTAGTAGTAGTAGTAGTAGTAGTAGTAGTAGTAGTAAAATATTAATAATATTAGCTAAAAATGATTAATAATAATAATAACAAAACAACTTTATTATTATATAAAATATAGTAAATAGGGGGGAAAATAAACAACAACAACAACAACATTTTCTTCTTCTTAATTTTTTTTAACTATTTCCTTTTTTTATGTTTTTTTCAGGAAGATATACTGCAGTGCTACAAACAACTTTCTCAGAAAGTGTGTCCTTAACTGCCAAGGCAGCTGACAAAGCCATATATTTCCTGTGCACAAAGTCATTTCCAGACATATTCAGTGTGTAACAATAATGCGGCCCTCGGTTTTAAAGCACAGATCACCGCACAATCGAGCCATACGGATGCGTGTGCAACCGCATCCTTCACAATCTTTGCATCTCAATATAAGAGAGAAGAACAGAGTGTCTTTATTACCCAGTTATCAAAAATAAAACCCATACACAAGCCCTGCAGTAAGTGATAGACAGTGTGAGCGTATAAAACACATCCATCCCGCAGCAAGAATGTTTTACTGCCATCTACAGAACATCAATCAAACTGCCCGCACAAAATCGGAGAGGTTATTAATACAAAGCTTCAAAATAGAGAGCAAAAAACATTTTTTTGTGAGGTGCAACACGTTTCTTTACAGCATTTCTGGGTTTTGATGCTCGCAGTCAGCTGAAATCATTTATTCTGGCTGGCGTGGGCCCATTAAAAAAACCTGAGGACACTTTAGGATATGTCACTCAGCTGTGTTTGAGTGCTCTCTCATGGCTTTCTTACACTTTTTCTTAGCTCAACCAGACACAGATCCCTGGTTTCCCAACTTCCTAATTGGCCACAGCTCTAGAATGGCCTGTGACTCCACAAGCAGCAGAATTTCAATCAAGCTGCACAAAAGAGGCCTGTGTTTCTGCGAGTCCAGCTCCATCTATCCATTCAGCCCTATGTTTGTCTGCCTGTCTCTGTCTCCTGCTGTCTTACTCACACAGATGGACAGATACTGAGGTCATGAAGTCATCTTCTACTACTGGCATGGGGGTCAAATTTGGCCGTGATGTGGTTAACAATTAAAACAGGCCAGAGGTTTGCTAGCGAACAGGGAAAGATCTGGTCCAACTTATCTGTACTGAATTACAAATGACTAAACTATTATTTATGTCATTACCCAATGATCTGTACTATTAATAATAATAATAATAATAATAATAATAAAAACTCACATTATTCACTTAAATTAATAGAAATAATACATAAAAATAAGAACATTATTATTATTATTATTATAGATAACATACATATGCCAATTATCAAAATCTTTTTGTAAAACAAAATCCATATATATTATCTATGAAATAGTCTTTATAATAATAATAAATTATTTAAGCATTTATTATTTATGCATTTTCAATTATTTATGTGCAGCATTACAGATGACTATTTCTTTTACTAGTATTTATTTCCCAATAATCTTTACTATTAATACTTTTTAAAAACTTACATAAATATATAAATTAATAAAAATGAGTACATAAAATAACAATTTTATCTAAAAATTATTATTATTATTATTGATCAAATAGAAATGACAATTATACAAATCTTGTATTTGTATTTATATTATATATGATTACCATTATTATACAATGTATTAATAATAATAGTTTACGCAAAAAATTATAAGTATAATTTGGAATTGGTTGGAATTGCTACATTTATTATTATTAATAATAATAATAATAATAATAATGATAAAAATCACCCTGCTGCCCCAAATTGGGTGATGTAATGCTAAAGTGGAAATATTTCCAGTCTTTTTTTTTTCATTTTCATTTGCAGTGAAATGCTGCTCTCTGCAGGAATTCACACACATCGACACTCATTGACATCCAGTGTTTAACTGTGTTCTGAATAACATATAAAAAAAAAGTTCTGCAGTGTGTATTAATTATATTAGACATAATATGAAAATTCAGTTATGACAAAAAGACTGGATTATGTTTGGAATAGCATACTGATTTTATTATTTCTGTCTTTAAACATGCATGCAATCATAATAGTATGCAGTATATTGCAAAAAAATAATAATATTTGTTGGTTTCTGTTTTGGCTCTCTTCTTTTGGGCTGTTGCCGAGTTGCAGTTGTTCAGGTTTCAGTGTCTTGCACTCGATTGTTGCCTGTGTACACAAATTACCAATCCTGTACAGCACACAAACGAAAAAAAAAAAAGATTCATGAAACCAATTTACACTCCATTTCGCTGCCTGAAACAGAGTTTGCCGGGAGGAGCTTTCAGACTCTTCTAGGCATCTGTAGCAGCACAGAAAAGCAAAGGCCAACAGTTGTGCGGTTTGCATTATAAATGAACTCAGAGTGCACTGCAATACAAAAACTGGCACTGAAACAAAGCTGGACCAGTTGCCAAGGAAACATATGCACAGTAATTACTAATATCTTCACCTTGTTAAAACAAACAGAAATGTCATGGGTTTGTTCTGATCTGGTATTTTTTTAATCATTTTAAGTTAATTTAATGAGTTTGGTATCTCACCATATGCGACAAGTGCAAGAAAAGACACTGTAAAAAAAAATATGTGTGAAGAATAAAGTGACATCAAGGCAGAAAACTATTATGAACTCATTTAATTTAAAAAACTAATTTATAAAAAAAGCAAAATATAATAAAATGCA